GGGGGGGGTTACAGGATAGTGCCCCCCCCAAAGTCAAAAGTACAGCTCAGGGAAGCTAGTCGGTTAATATTATAATAACTACGGACGGTGCCGGGCGGGTATTTGACTTACGGGAGGTGGGGGAGTCGTTCCATAAATTATACAGACGTCTAATCACTACGCCTGGAGCCAATGCAGGACAATACGGAATGTGAACTGTAATTGAAAAATAAATACGAGCAAAAAAAATCCTGCATCGTGGGGTCGGAAGGGCTGTGTGTTTCCCACTGAAGCAGGGGAATTTTAGGGGAGCCCTATTTTCCCCCAGTAGATGCAGGGAGGGGAGGTTCCTTATCTTTGTTCTCTGGCAGCCTCCTTCCCTCCGCCTCTGCAAACATGAGCCCTTCAAAGCATTTAAAAAAAAAAAAAACTTGAAAGAATGGCAGTTGGGGCTTCTGCCAACACTTAACATTCCAAAGCAAAGACATTCTTACGGCGAAACGCGTCCACCATCCGGGGTTCTCGTGTCTGTTTTTTCCATTCCGTTTTTTTTTTTTTTTGATGAGCACATAGATTTTTTTTTTTGGCCTAAAACCATTTTTTAAAATTTTTAAAAAAATTGAGAGCGTGGAAGCGTCGCTGGAAGCGTCTGTGTTGACTGTTTTCTGGGCAACGCGGACGTGGTGAGTTTCCTGGAGTCGTTTGGGGTGAACGGTCGGGTCGGTGGCGGGGAGCGAACCCAAGTGGAAGAATTGCAAGGACGGGATGAGCTCAGCGTTTCGAGAGACGGAGGGAAAGAAATTAGACGCGTCTCCCAGGGTTCTGTTACCTCCGGCGCCTGTCGTTTGCGGATTTGCGGGCGGTAACCCCTCTGACAGGTGTCAGGTGATATCTTACTGTGGTTTTTTTAATCTGAATCCCTCGGATGATTAGCGGCGTTGAGCGTGTTTCTGTGTCTGTCTCTCGGCCCTCTGTGCGCTTTTCTTTGCAAAAGCGTCTGTTGAGGTCCTTTGCCCGTTTTTTAATTGCATTGTTTGTCTTCCTTCTGTGAAGCTGTACGAGTTCCTCATGGATTTTGGAAATTAACCCGATGCATCCTTGGCGAAGAGGATCCCCCAGGCCGTGGGCCCCCCCTGTGCATGTCGATGCTGTTTTCTTTTGCGGCGCAGAAGCCTTTTAGTTTGCTGCAGCCCCGTGTGTTTATTTTCTGCTCCTAGAAGCAGGGGTCAGGCTGAGGGGCCTCAGAGGGAAGGTGGGGGCGGGGAGGGCGGACGGGAGAGATTAAGCAAAGAATCTGCACCCATCGGTGGGTAACCCTGGGAAGCAGACAATAGTGT